GATTGAAATAGTCGATAAAGAACGAGTTAAAGTTCTTATTCGTTCACAAGCTTTAAAGGATAAATATCACTCTGATGCTGTTATTGTTACATTTGATTGTGGTCAAGGTAATGTTACACATATGATTTCACATTTTTATTTACAACGCTCCGAAACGGCTAATGCTCGTCATAAGATGCCGGCTCAACAATATGCACAAGACATTAAAGCATCAGATAATATTACCAAACTGATTACTAAAGATGGTCAAAATCTGAATTATGCTCAAATTCAATCGTCATCAACTTCAGCTCAACTTATGTATAATCTAATTTCGAATCGTCTTAACTCGACAAATAAATCGACTTCATCAACAAATAGTCGAAAAGATTTTCAATAATGTGTTTTTAAACATTTGATAATCATCGAAACTCACTTAAAAACACTTGTATTCAAATTTTTAGTAGTAAAAAAAACGAATTATTAGCGAACTATGAAAACAAAACTATTATTCTCAAAATTGAGCGAATTAATTTTTTTTTGTGAATTTCATTTTTTGTTTAAACAAGTTTGTGCTTTCACCTTCATATATATTTCGATTAAGAGTTTAATAAAATTTTGAAAAATAAAACACAATTTTCCTATCTATGAAAGTTCATTATCTATTATTCAAACTTTAGAGGAAGTCATACAGCTTAAATTCATTAATGACTGATAATCACTTTCTTTGTAAGATAGACTTCGCCGAACCATCGTCCAAGCTATCCGTAGCTAGGTTTTTGTTTTCGACCCTTCATATGCACTTTGAAAACTCGTACAGCGTTCTTGCAAAATTCTAAAATATCTGAGTCTCAGATTATCATCCGTTGCGAAGCTGATCAAGTATGGATCATTCGAATGACCTTGTGTAGTGGCGACGAACACCATTTCAAGGACGTTCTTGCACGTATGAAGAACCAAAATGGAAGCGAACCGACAAATCTTCGAACATTCGGAAAGATCTTATGGCAAATGGGTAAACTTCATCTGGCTGAAAAATACTACAATCGCTTGTTGACGAAACTTCCACTGAATGATCCTGTAATCAGCAACGTTTATGAAGATCTCGCTCAGATTGCTTCGGAAAAAGGTAACTTCGACAATAGTATGCAATGGCGACAAAAATTTCTTGCAATTACAAACCAACATCAGTCAACTGGTACTGCTCACATTGACAACATCAGCAACTCTATTGGTAAGTTCATCGAAAAATTTGATCGCTATTGATGGAGTCAGTAGTTGGTATCAAATAAGAAGTTATATTTTTGTGTGCATGTTTATTTTAGTTGAATTGATGACTGTATCTGAGAGTTAGATTGAAATGAAATGATACTTACTAAAAAGTCAGTGCCAATGCAAACTATTGTTAAGTCTATGTTAAACTCAACCAATTTTCATTATTGTATTGTATTCAATCGTTCATTGTGTCATTCTCTAATATTCGTCTTTAGTTCTATTATTGAGTTTACCAGGCAGACAATCGACCAGTCAAAAGTGAACAGATGCATAGTTATTAAAAAAATATACGCGGAGTGTCCAGAAATTCATTAAACAACAAGAAAATTCAATATCTTCATTATGGCTCGAGTAAACGAGCTGATATTTTTGTCAATGATGAAGGTATGTTCAAAGTTTATATCTATAAAGACATGCCTAGAGAAGTCCTTTTTCATGCATCACTATTGACCTCAACAAAAGAATTTTACTTTTTCACACATAGAAAAAAAAACAATATACTTAACAAAGGGTCTCTCTAGGCTTGTCTTTATGAATACAAAGTTTGGACGTACCTCTATCATTAGTAAAAAAATCAGCTCGTTTGCCCGAGCCATAATGAAGATATTCATTTTTTTTGACAAAATGACTTTTGGTCCACTCTGTATATTGGTTTTTTCCCTACTTGTGAAAAAGTAAAATTCTTGTGTTGAGGTTAATAGCGATAAATAAAAAAGGATCTCTCTAGGCATGCCTCTACAGATATAAGCTTTGAACATGCCTCTATCATTGACAAAAATATCAGCTCGTTTGTTCGAGCCGTAATGAAGATATTCAATTTTCGTTTTTGTCAATCAATTTTCGGACACCCTGTATATATGTATAGGTAGAAAAAGCATTACAAATTATTGTAGTATGTAAATTATGTCAATAATTCACTTAAAAACAAAAAGACGAGAAGGAAAATCGTATGCGATATTTTCTTTTGAAAAGTATATTTGAGTATTCTGCTGTATTATTCCCTGACATAGAACTCTCTTTCATTTGTAGATCAGACAAGCATGTCTCCTAATATCATGTGGACGCAAGACGGCATCACTGTGGCCGGTGGAAATGAAAAGGGCAATGAATTAAATCAACTCTTTTATCCATGGGGTTTGGCTGTTGATCATGATCAAAATATTTATGTTGCTGACTGTGTGAATGATCGTGTTATGGAATGGAAGCCAGGTGCAACTAGTGGTCGAGTTGTTGCTGGAGGAAATGATGAAGAAAGCAAGGCGAATCAATTGGATGGTCCAAGAGGTGTGATTATCGATAAACAAACAGATAGTCTTATCATCTGCGACTCACGCAACCGTCGAATAGTGCGATGGCCTCGACAAGGTAGTACAAATGGCTAAATGATCATCTCGAATATCAACTGTTTTGGTGTAACGATGAGTAATGATGGATTTCTTTATGTTTCTCACATCGAAAAAGATGAAGTGAGACGATGGCGAATAGGTGAAATCGGTGGAACAGCGGTTGCAGGTGGTAATGGAAAAGGTAATCGTCGTCTAGATCAGCTCAATTCACCAACGTTTGTCTTTGTGGATCAAGATCACTCAGTCTATGTATCATACTCTAATAATCATCGCGTGATGAAGTGGATGAAAGGTGCAAATAAGACATTGTTGTTGCTGGTGACCAAGGTCCAGGAAATTCCGTCACGCAATTATATAATCCTCAGGGAGTAGTCATCGATCAAGCAGGCACTCTTTATGTGGCCGACTATAGGAATGATCGGATAATGTCTTGGCCAAAAGGAGCTTCACAAAGAAGTATTGCTATTGGTGTAAATGGCCAAGGAAACCAAGCGAACCAACTCAATCGACCCCGGGGATTATCATTTGATCGACTGGGTAATCTTTATGTGATCGATCATTGGAATCATAGAGTGCAACGATTTTCACTCGATGTTTATTCCTAATTATTATTTGACATGATTTAGTTTTGTGTTTTTTTTCTTTAGTATTGAACTAAACAAAAAAGTTCGCTCTGCTTTAACAAGACTCAATCGAACGAAAAATAGGTAGTGTTATTTTGGATGTTGGATGAGAAACAGGTTAGAGATATTAATGTTTCTTTGTTCATGCATTCGATCGACAACCTTACATTCACTAGCATCATATGAATTACATTTTGAAATCTAGATTTCAAGCTGGGTATCATACGGCTTCTCAAGAAGTTGATTGTACAAACAAAAATGTTCCAAAAAAAGGTTATATTTAGTCTAAAATATAGCTGCCTGATTTGAATGAATATTATTTCACCTTCGGAAAAGCTTTATTCACATTTGTTTTTTTCTTCTTCATGCTGTTTTGTCGTGTTTATTTAACTGTGTAGTTGAATTTACAGTGTGATTTTTTTTCTTGCCATCTAGAAAATAATGCCACGGTTATGCAGAATGTGGATACAAGTACTTTGTTTTGTTGTAGGGCATTTGTAAGATGTTGTGCTTCTTTATCAGTAAATCCATAGTCGCTGAGGTCAAATCTGGCGTATGTCTGTGTGCAATTATGAATGAGTGATGAGATAAGAAGGTTGGGTAGAGAGCATGTTTCATTGTTCTGTTTTAGAGGATTGACAAGATATTGCGCTCTTTCACCGTCGATTTTATCGCATCCGAGCTAAAGTATGATAAGTGTCTGTATGAAATAGTGAAAGAGTAATGATACGAAGAGAAAATTTAAGGTTGTGTTACATTGTTGCATTTTAGAGCATTGACAAGATGTTGTACTCGTTGCCCACTGATTCGACTATCCGTGAGACTAGATGTTGTGATTGTCTGTGTGAAATAATGAGAAGATTAAAATGATTAAAAGATGGGTGTGGGTATGGATATGGCTGTGGGTGTGTGGATGGAATGTGGATGTGGATAAATATGACGACAAGACTTACACTCACACCACCTCCCACATCCATACACATTCACATCCACACACACATACTCACACCCATATCTACACGCACACCCTCACATCCACACACATACCCATACCCACACCCACACCCTC